AGCGGCGCCAAACAGTTGCCTCAGTAACTGGGAGCATTAGAGAGGTCTGAGCGGCCATGCCACGGCATCAGTGTGAGCTGCTCGGATGTGCCCAGAGTAGATGGAGCCGTGAATCAGAGCAAGAGGCCACGCTGGGGAGTGAGCCTGTGTCCTGACCAGAGATGGAGGTGGCTGGGCTCGGGCTATGAGAGGGAGAGCCGCCTCACAGGGCAGGGGGTGTGACTGGAGGAGGCAGCATCAGAGCGGCTTTGGTGGTGCACCTACTGCGTGTGCGGGGAACATTCTCTGTGCTCCACGTGTGTTCTGATGAGAGTGTCAGGACAAACTCCCAGCTCTCTGTGAGGACAGTCATGGTGCCCCTGAGCCCCCTTTTAGCCTCTGGTGGCTTTCCCCATGGGTCTCTCCCCGTGTAGCGTGCCCTCCTGTGATGCTGTCCTATACAGCCCAGGGCTCCCCAGAGAGAAATGTGGTCACTAACTCTGCTTTCTTACTTAGCTGCTCAAGTTCCCAGAGAGAACACAGCAGAGTGAACATGGGGCTCACAGCCTGAGCCCAGGGGAGGAGGCGCAGAGAAAGGGCCCCAGAATGCTGAGGGAGAAATGGAATCTGACAGTGCTCAGGATTTGAGGTCCAAAGGGAGCCCCACCCCCAGAGTGTGTGCACGCTCTCTCTGTCTCTCTCTCCTCTCTTTCTCTTTCTCCTCTCACTCTCTCCTCTGTCTCTCTGTCTCTCTGTGTCTCTGTCTCTGTCTCGCTCTCCCTCCCTCTCCCTCCTCTCTCTCTCTCTGTCTGCACAGGGGTAAAGAAATGCCGGTCTAGAGCAGTCCATGCTCTCCTGCACTGCTCATCCACTTGCCCTGTCGTCCTGAGGCCTCAGTAGTGGTCTATACAGCTGGGGGGGGGGGGGTTAGTCTCCAATACCAGAAGTTCCATGTCTGAGAACCTCTGAGGTGCAGTGTTGTGTGGAGTTTCCGATGTGACCAAAAAGCTGTGGACAGGATCATTGAAATAAAACGCCACATGGTGGGGGAGGGGAAAACGCCCCATGCTTTCTCCAGACCTGGCCACAGCAGAGTCTGTGACTATGAGGACCCCTCCAGGCTCCTGTTTGGTCATGCCCCACTTCCTCTTCTGTGTTGAATCTGATTTTAGCTTCTGGATTAATCTAATCCCCTGTTGCTGCTTCACCAGCAGACGGGACCCTGCATTTGGGCTTCTGCCACCCCTTGCCAGAGTCTCTTCACATACAGAAATTAGCCCCCAGTTCTCCAAAATAATCAAAGGTTCCATTCGCCTCCTAAAATATGATTGAGAATTTCACAAGACTCCGGTCCATCTAAACTGTAGATACCATTATGTGGTATGTTTTAAATTAAGGTTGAGCAACCTAAAAAAAAAAATTCTGTTCACACAATAGTAGTAAGTGAATTGCATGCTAAGTGAGATTTTATAAAGAATAATCAGCTTTTCCAAATAAAAACTGAGAAGAAAGGCACTGTTTTTCAGTTTCGCAAACTTCTTTCATGTCAGACTTAATAAACACATCTGTGACAGAGTGTGTTGTGGGGTCACAAATCGCATAGGCTGAAAACTCCACCGTATGTTCATAGGAAGCCTTGGCATGAAAGGAGTTTTAACCTTGCTGACCTCCGGAAAGGGCCATCGAGAACAGCTATTAATAGCCACAAGGAACAGCTGTATGTGTCCAGGGCATGGCCCCAGCTCCCCAGTGTGTTTGCAGTGGGCTGGGCAGTGTGTCCCCTAAAAGATATGCTATTACCCAGAACAAGGAGTTTGAGAGGAGCCCTGGGCACTGGGTCCGGAGCAGGAGGGAAATGAACACCCTGTTTGGGCCACGTCTGCTGGTCGTGACTCTGTGCAAGACGCTTCTGTGGTATGTATCTAACCCACCGCTCCTGTTTCCTTCTCAGGGAGCCCAACAAAACCAATCTGGTCACCTTCTTCCAGACAGACCTGAGCGGCTACCTCCCTCAGAGCGTGGTAGACTCCTTTTTCCCTCGCAGCATGGCTGAGTTCTACCCCAACCTTCAGAAGGCCGTGAGGAAATTCCATCACTGACACAGTTGGCAAGAGATGCCCGCCCTTCGGGAGCTCCAGCTGGTGATCCTCAAAGACCACGGAAGAGCTACTGTGGCCTTTGGAGATGCCCTGGTGAACAGGAAGTCTCGGGGTGCCAGTCCAGGACAGCAGCCCCTCCCCCTCTCCCCCACACCCCACGCCTCCTTCCTCTCGGTGCTGGTGTGGAAGGAGCTGTCCATCAGCTTGCGGTGGTACACACCTGGCAGGCAGGGCAGATACTGCTATGGCCACCAGACAAAGACATGGCTCAGGCACGCTTTGAGTCCTTGTGGTCCAGGGCCCTGCGTCCTGCCGTCACACACCTGTCTCTGTGCTGGTCTTAGGTAACCGTCTTCTACCATCCTGCCTCTTCTGGCATCTGGAGTTCCCAGGCTTTTCTCCCAGACTCCTGTGTTCATTTTCTGATGCAGTTTTATATACCAGTTTTTAACACAAGACTCCCCCCCGCCCCACTACAAAGACGTCCAACTTGGAAAATACGTTTTAAAGCCCAGAATAAGCCTTAAGGAAAAAACACTTTCCGCCTAATATTTGTTGTATCTTCTGTCAGAATCATCATCCTTTCCTAAATGTTTGTCCCTTCATGAGTTGATATTAGCTCACGTCCCCATGAAACCAGTTGGAATCTGACCCAGGCCAAATTGTATCTTTGGGAGGGAGGGAGTGTTCTGTGACCTGTGTACGTGATTCTGTGTGGGGCCAGCTGCTCCCGTGTGCATAGAGGAGTCTGGAAAGAGCCCCCTGGCATATACCTCACTATGTCCTCAGTCATGGGGGTGAGGCAAGAGCGCTCTGGCCCCCTGGCCCCATCAGGCCTTGCTGCCATTAGGAAGGAAGGAAGGAAGCACAAGCCCACGGTATCTAACAATTGCCACAAAACCTGCCATTCCAATAGGGACAAATGCTGTCTCCTTAGCTTTTCGAACACATTCAGAGTCCTGCTTTTCATAGAAGAAAGGAGAGCTCTCTGGCGGCTGACACTGATTGCTTGAAAACTCTTCAGAGCCATGATCCCCTCACAGTCCAGCTGGCTTCTCCCCTTTAGTAGATTTTAATAATTCCTCTACTCTTCCATTTGTTCTTCACAACATGAGGGGCGGCCTCTAGTCGAAGGGCTCATTGGACACATTTGCATTTTGATGAGGCTGGTTCAGACATTCTGCCTTCATCTATCTGGTTTTCTTGCTGCGGCTCTGTTCCCTGGGGTTGGGATACTGACTGTCGATCTCTCTCTGTCGTCTCTCCCTCTCTCTCTGGTTTTGTCTCTGTGTTAAGCCTACTTGCCATACCATTCTTTGGGATGTGATCCACCTTGGGTTTTGAGACAGGCTTTCTCACTGACCGAATAGGCTAGGCTGGATGCCCGGCGAGTTCCAGGGAGCTGTGTCTTTCTGCTTCCTCGGGTCTGTGATTGCTAGCAAATGCTCCCACACCTGGTTCTTTTGTTTCCGTGTGTCTGTTTGGTTTTATTTGTTTTTGTTTTTGTGTTTCTCTGGTCTCTGGGGGTTAAATTCATGTCACCATGCTTGTATGGCAAGCACCTTGCTGACCACTGTCTCCCCAGCCCCACACCTTTTGTTGTTGGATCAAATTTAACTTCTGTTAGATCTAAAAGGCTGATACAAATGGTGTCTTGGGTTTTTCACCTACTTATCCGCTATAAGGGCAAAATGCAAAGTGGGCTGGAGAAATAAGCATGCCAGCTCCAGTAATAGGCGGTCATTTCTCAGAGTAGGTGAGACTCGGCTCTGCAAGGGTCATTGAAGGCCTTTGCATGAAGAGCAGAAGTCTTGGCTTCAAATTCTGGAGAGGCCAGCAAGCTCCCATCCATCGGCAGGGCCCTGAAATAAATGGTCTCTGGTGTTCTGTCTGTGGTCCTTGCCAGGCCTTCCCCATGTCATCCTTATTTCATGGGAACAGAGGACTAGGGATGAGGATCTGAACCCCTGGCCCAGACCTAATAAACCGTACTTGCTGTGGATCATCAGGATTCACACTGAGTTGTCCTGAGCTTGGCTTACAGATACTCAAAACCAACCAAAGCAAATATTCTACTGGCCATACCCATGCTACGAACAGGCTGGGGGTCGGGCGGGGGTTGTTTCCCCTGGTGTGCTGTGTTTTAAAGCTCTGGGCCTGCTCGTGTCTACCAGGTCACAGAAGGAATGACAATCTCTGCCCCACCATATCCCAGGCAGACAAGCCAGTCATTGTCCCGAGGCTCAGTACCTTCCAATACACTGTCACAGGACCACCATTGGTGAGGTGGCTGTGATCACAAATGACTGTCTAGCAGAATGCCTGATGTGACAGGTGGGACATCGGTAGTCATTTCCATTTCCATGCTGGTTCATCCTGTGAGCACATCTGTCCACACCTTAACTCCCACTGCACTCCTCTATCATGGCCCCACCCTTTCTAGGATCACTTCTCAACCCAACCAAAAACGGTCTTTTAAGCGTTTGAAAGTGTTCTTGATGACAGGCTACATCTTACAAAAGTGCTCCTGACAGCATATCCCCTTTCCTTGAACCCAGGCAGGTTTTTGCCTGCTCTCAGTGGGAGTATAGTACAACAATGCTATGCGTCTTCAAAGGCGGAACGTTGAAAAGATGCAGCTCCTGCCTGGCTGTGGTGTGTGTACCAGGCAGCCTGGCCTCGTGGTGCAGAAGCCCAGGCCATAAAGAGACTTCTCAGTCATCACTCAGCACCAGCAACCAGAGGCACAAGCAGTGACCCTTCATGGGACCCCAGCCCAGCCTTGAGTTGTTCTAGATGATGCTTCGTGGGCCCAAAGGAGCTATCCTGCAAGACCTGCCTATCCTGCAGATTCATAAGAGAAAACTTGCTGCCGTGGGGTGGCTTTCATTTACCTGGGTGATGTTCAAATCAGGCCATGGGTTTCCTAGCAAACTGCAACACATCCACTTTATTAGGGCACCAGAATATTATCACGAGGCTGTTTATATACATACACTCTACGCTTTGTATCGGCCACCTCTGTGTGACTCTGTCCCGACATTTAGAACAACCCTCCTGATGGGGCAGTGTCCCAGAAGGTCCAAACCTGAGCAGCAGCTACCAGAAGCACACCTGGGCTTTCCCCAGCCTGGGTGAGGTGGGTAGCAGAGACCCTGAGAATCGGCAGTGGCGGGAGCTTCATGCTCCTGCCTTGTCTTAGCGTCGGCATCCTGTCTAGGAGTCTCCAGAAGCTGTCATCTGCTGGCATTGGAGGCCTTTCCTTCTGATGACTACAGTGACAGGTCCGTCAGGCAATGCCTTGATGATATTCCAAGCTTCAAACCGAGAAAGACCTTGCACGGCAGTGCCAGCGAGCTGCAAGATTTCATCTCCTGGCTGGACTGTCTCACTCTGTTCAGTCCCTATGAAGAAGCAGAAGATGACAGGTGATCCTGGGCTTCACAGGCAACAGAAAGAATAAAAGGTGCTTTCTGAGGAACCAGGACAGCTCAGATGTGGATTGCCACCCACCTCTGGGAGCTTGTCAGTGGTTCTAAAGTGAGCTGTTTCACAGCGTGGTAGCTCAGAGCTTGGACACCAGACTCAGCTCTGTTGTCAAGTGAAGAAATGGCAGTCAGCTCCAAGCCAGAGCCCAGGTAGAGACTTCCACAATTTCTAGAGAACCCCCGGGACTCTCGGTCCTTCCTAACAACCCCTATCTATCCTACTTTGTATTGACTCCCTTCTTCTGGTAATATTACCAGCCATGGGTTGGAAAGGGTGTGAGCTGGTGAAACATTCCTGAAGCAATTTTCAAAGGGCTGTTGGCTTAGTTGGCTTGGGAAGAGCTCTGTGTCTACTCAGAAAGACATACCCCTCCATGGCACCCACTCAGTCAAAGATACATACAGAAACCATGACATCTTTTACTGCTTATACCGAAGGGAACCCTCCCATTCATCTGACACCATGGCCTTTACCAACAGTGAGTAAGAGTATAGAATAGTAATGAAAATACAGGGAGGGATATTGAGCAAGCCCAACAGACTTGTGCTGGTGCTCTACACTCCTGGCAGCATCCCCTGGGGGTACACACCAATAGATTCACTTTTCACAAGGGTGGAAACCAAAGATGGAGAACCTCACTCAGAGCTTGAAAGTGGCTCAGTTTTAGGGTCTAGGCTTGAACTCTGACCTTCAGGCTCTAGCATCCACATCCCATGGTACCACACCTGCCCATGGCTGGAGGCTTATTCCCCCATGTGTACACATGAGCCCGGAATAGTGAAGTGACTTGCCCAAGGTCATGCCACTGTACATTAGAACCCAGGTCTCTCAGGTTTGGTTTCCTCAAAAGCTAAAAGCATCTTTCCCAGAATTGCAGTTAACATGGAAAGTTGGGGTTAATTACCACACATGACTCAGCCTACCCATTTCATTTCCACAATGCTGCAGAACTTAAAATCTGCTGGCTATAAAGGCTCATAAGAACAGATAATAGGGATTGGATGCCTTTGGGATCCCAGTTCTAAAAGCTCCCAGACACGCACCCATACTTTTTACATCTTCTTGTGGATAACGAACCTCTGGGGTGGTAAAGAATGGTCACCTGGCGAGTTAGAGACAGGGCTGGACTACACCCAGAGCCTGGCATCTGACCAATGTTTTTTTTCCTCCACATCCCTTGTTCCCTTGCCCAAGGCTTCCACCTAAGAAGTGACAAGGAGTTGTGGATAGATTTGCATGGTAGGGACAAGGTGTTCACAGTTTTCTCAGGAAATTTCATATCTAGCTGATCCACATGTCAGATTGCCTGGCAGCCCAATTCATAATGAATAAGACATCCAATGAAAAATGAACACAAGAATCAATGAATCCAGGACTAGAGTAAAGCTAGCTAGGCTGTGAGATAAGTACCAGCCTCTGGCTTTACTCAGAATGCTCCCATCTGGGGCTGGAGAGATGGCTCAGTGGTAGGAGCACTTGACTGCTCTTCCAGAGGCCCTGAGTTCAATTCCCAGCAACCACATGGTGGCTCACAACCATTTGTAATGGGATCAGATTCCTTCTTCTGGTGTGGATGGAGACAGAGCATTCATATACATAAAATACATGAATAAATATGTCTTTTAAAAAATGTTGGCATCTTATGCATCATGGATTGTTTGGCTGGTTGGTTGGAGACAGACTCACATAACCCAGGCTGACCTTTTAGTCGCTGTGGCACTAAGGATGACCTTGAATTCCTGAGTGTCTTGCCTTCACCTCAATGCTATCACAGCCGTTTACTTTTAAGGTTAACATTTGTTTCTAAGTACGTTGCACAGAAATAGTATTGATTTTTCTCAGTGCATCTTTTGGTACCCCTCAACTCTGCGCCTTAAACCAGAGCCTTACTTGCCTCTTTCTATCCTTGGTCCTGACAATCTGAACAAAGCATGTTGTGAGATATTTGTACACTGTGTGAACAGCCAATAGC